AAAGATTACCGAAAGTTAAGAATGTTGGCCAACCAAACATAGAAATGACATTTCATTCCCTGATAATAAGATATAACCTAAAACAAACACCCCTTTAAGAGTAACAGTTGAAGAAGAGTTAAAGCCACATACGAAAAGAAAAGATATAGAGGATAGAAATTATGCGGTGTAATTTATCCAAATTTAATGGAGAGCGTATCAGATGTAGCCGAATCTATCCAGAAAAATGGGGCAGAAGTTGAAGATAGCTTGACAGGTGCATCTCAGTATGTGCAGAAAACAAAACAGAGAATGGCATCTTTGAAAATCTACGGTATCATTGCTATTCCCACCGGTTCTTCTTCAACCTCTCAATATTCATCAAATCACCCAATTCCTTTCTCCTCCAATCCTATAAAATCAGCCTTATCTGCATTCCACCCAATCCTCTCTTTTCACCGTGAACTCCACTTTTCAATCCTTGCCTCAAAGAAATCTACAACCATTTCTTCGGCTATGTCGTCTGGGCACGTATTACGTTTATTTTTCTAGTTTTACTGCAAAAAAAAATGGAGGAATTGTCGGCATAATCATTTGTTATCAAGCTAGAGAAGTATTTGATTTTCTGGGCTTTTTTGTATTAGTGTTAGCAGCCCAAATTAATCGCTTCTACAAGTTTCAGCGTTGCAGTTTCTGAATTTAGTTTCGCATTTTCTATTTTTAACAATTATTTTGTCTATATACAGATATGTGCAAGAGGATCTTCAACCAGCTCTTGATTCTACTTCGCATCCACCTTCACTCTTTGATGGAACAACAAGGTTCCATCGAAACTTGCTTCACTTGAAATATGGTTCCAATTTGAAGGAACAAATGAAAATTTCAAATTTTCATTAAGAATTCACTCCCTAATATGAAGTTCTACTGCGGGGCTTTCGCTTTAATTAATGAAATTATTAGGGTAATTTAGCAATATGTTGCTGGGTTTATTTTGTTTCTTTGAACTGATTCGATCTTTAATATCGATGTAGAATTAACGTTTCATAGTCGATCGAACCAGTACACTAGCTTACTTGCATAGCTTTTGAGTTCGGTCCAAGCTAATTTTTCATTTCTGAAACCAGGGATTGCAGGATAAGATAAAGCTGGTTCCCATTGATATGAAGAACAGGCCTGCTTGGTACAAGGAGAGAGTCTACCCTCCAAACAAGGTCACACCACATCTTTGAAACATTTGATGTTAAACTAAGTTACTTGGATTTGAACGTGAGCATCGGATATGAGCTTGTGCCTAACATAGACTCGGATTTGAATGTGAGCATCTGATATGAGTTTGTGTCTAACATAGACTCGGATTTGAACATGAGCATTGGATATGAGTTTGTGTCTAACCATAGACTCGGATTTGAATGTGAGCACCATGTTCGATACATCCACAAAAGTGTCCTAGCAACATAGATGCTAAAAGATTAGAAAATATGAAATAGCAGAGTACCAACATTCTGCAATCCCTCTTCCTTGCACCAAGTTAATGGAAAACTGATGCAGGTGCCGGCATTAGAACACAATAATGAAGTAAAAGGCGAGAGTCTCGACTTGATCAAGTACATAGATACTTACTTTGAAGGGCCTTCGCTTTTCCCCGATGTACAATCTTAAAAGCTCTTGATTAGTTTTTTTATCACCTCCATAGTTCTTCTTTCATGCTCATAGACTATGTAACAGGACCCTGCAAAGAGACAGTTTGCAGATGAGTTATTCTCCTACATCGATTCTTTCTACAAAACAGTGACTTCTACGTTCAAAGGAGAGGGTACGAGCAGGTGAGTTCGGCCTCTTCTATTCATTTTGGAATGATGTAAATGAACTCATGTCACCATGGTCATAATCTGAAAACTGCGCCAGGCATTGCATTTGATGACATTGAAATAGCTCTTTCCAAGTTTGAGGACGGGCCTTTCTTCCTCGGGCAGTTTAGTCTGGTGTGTGAACAATTGTCAGTTAAACACAAAATACATATCAATGATATCCAGTTTTCATCAAGTTTTAGAAAGCAGATTATCAGTATTGGCATCCTTTCTTCTTCAGGTGGATATAGCTTATGCACCATTCATTGAAAGATTTCATCATTTTCTGATGGATGTGAAGAATTATGATGTTACTCATGCAGACCTAAATTAGCAACTTGGATTGTGGTATTGCTAGATTTATTCTTACTGTAACCTTCTTTGAATCTGATATTATGGACTAAACCATGGTTCTAAAAGTTCCATTTTTTAGTCTATCAAAGGGTGACTGATTATACGGAGAGCATAATCAATGTCAAAAAAGTTTAATTGTTTCTAAGTCGCTAATATTTTTGAAATCATTACAATTAAGCCCTTTCTCATCCCAAAATTTGCTGGTTTAATTATATTTTTAGGACACTTTCAGTTTTAAAATGAAATTATATCTTCACCTTCAATTTTAAAATTTGAAATTAAAGCACATCTTTAAATTTTATGCTTTATTCAATTTTAAAGACCATATTAGTTTCAAAATGAAACAACTCGTCTCCCTTGTAATTCAATCCTAGCTCATTCCCTGATCATAGTAAATCTATCCTTGACAGGAGATGAACAGAAACGAAGGTTACAAGCAAACCAGGCGTGATCCAAAGGAACTTGTTGAGAGCTACAAGAAGCGTTTCATGGTAATCAAAATTGAAAGCTCAAACAGTGACAAAAGTTGTATGAAATATGACTTCAATGCAGTAGTATTAATCAGAAATTTATGTAGTTTATAAAAACCTGTCTTAGTGTCAAGTGTTTTGTTTAGGGTTTAAAATTTAGTTTTACAAACTTGTTTATTTCAGTGTCATGCGTTCTATTTGGGGTTTAGAAATTAGGATTTAGGGGTTTGGATTTTAGAAGAAATTAAAATAATTAGATTGTGTAAAATAAATATTATCCAGTCTGTGTATCAAATACTAATCTTATATATAGCAAAATTATATGGTGCACAATTTTTTTTTTTTTGATTATTCTTACAAGAGATTTCTAACATGTCAATAAACTCGTTCTTGAAAATTCACAAATTTCCAAACCTAAAAACAGACAGAATTCTTGGGTAACTCCCTGGGGGGAAAATACACTTTTATACATACTTTCTCCAGTTGATGTACACTATATTCTCGTAAGATAATAAGTTTACACAAGACCATCTACACCATACTCTATTTTAGCAGGATAATAAGTTTACATAAGACTTATTTGAGTATCATGTGTTTTATTTAGTGTTTAAGATTTTATGGACACGTGCAGAAAATGCTACTTGAACCTGGGTCACCTAGAAAGAACATTCTTTTTACTATTGAGATCCCTCATTGAGTTATAAATTTTTGGGCTCAAATAGACTAAATTTTAATTTATACATCCCGTGTATAAAAAAATTCCCTTACATGTGTATACATTTATGTAGGGGTGATCAAAATGACTCAAAAAATCGATTTTTTCGATTATATTTGACTCGAAAAAAACTCGATCGAATTGACTTTGAGTTACAATTTCATAAACTCGACTCAAAAAAAATTCAAGTTCAAATCAAGTTGTAAAATACAACTCGAATAACTCAAAATTTTTAATAATTAGTGGATTTATTTTCACGTTTGAGTCGAGTCCTTGGACTTTGTATGATATATACATATCACATATGAAAAAAATTTGTAGAAACATATTTGTATTGTATATATAATTATAGAAACTCACTTAAATTGGAACCAAATAATATTATAAGTATTCACAATTAAATTTAAACAGAAACTCAAAAAATTGATTCGACTTGACTCGATTCGAATTTTATAAACACGACTCGATTCGAAAAAATTTCAAGTCAACTCCAAGTTGTAAAATAAGACTCGTCAACTCAAATAACTCGAAAATTTTTAACTCGACTCGCTTGAACGCTCACCCCTACATATATGTTTGCCTATCTGTTACGAATGGCAAAACTTTTAAGAAAATCACTAAAATCTATTTATATCAGCAATCATATTAGTCTTATGTTACTCAAAACTCTCCAGTTTTTTTTTTTTTTTGGTTCTGAAACATCCTTTCAAGCGAGTATAAAGATATGATCTCTCAAACAAATGAAACAAAATTTACACCCGGGTCAGAATCATATCCGTATCTAACAATTAGCCCCAATCCTGAAAGCATAAGCATTAATGTCTAAAGAATCATCACTCACAGTAGCAACTTACAATGGGAGAGTGTGAGCAACGTGAGAGAACTACACCCAAATGTTTCTGAAGAAGATGCATGTGAAAGCATAACCCTGTTGCATGCTGATTTTAGTTTTGTTGCTTTCACTCTTCCTTTTCCTTGAAATTCCCATCTTAGACGACATCCGGACGTATGCATGGAGATGTGACCCTGCAAAAACTCTCCAAATACCTGAAAAACTTGGAAATAAGTTATGCATAAAAACCTGCAAAAACACTCCAGCATCATTCTCAGTTTCTCATAATCGATTCGTCATCACAAAACTGAGTTCATAAAAGGACAAGATATAACAGGGCAAGAAGTTGCATTATACATGGCATACTTTGAATATTTATCACTTGTGCATAAGCTGTGATAAGCCACTTGACTAGTAATCGGCATTTACAATAGAATAGCTTAGTAAGAGTTTCTCAATATCAAGTTGCAGTAGCAAATTGCAGAGTAAAATTTGTTGATGTTGGGACTTGACTTGCTTAAAGCAATGAGCATCCTCCATGAAATTTAAGACATAATAAGCCCATGACTATATATGGATACTACCCTCACCAAACAATCCAATCTGAAAGGAAATTCCAACGTTTGTGAACTTCAAAAGGCAAGGGCTTTATTGTTAATCCAGTGAAATAAAGATGGCAGCTTCAATGTGTGAAAAAATATTCATCGGAAGGCATGAAGTAGCAAGAGAGATCAGCCTCAAACAGTCCACAACAAAAATATTCGAGCCTCTACAACCCAGAAGATGAAGATAACTACTTTAGTAATACTTTCGCCATCTTCTCCACATACACAGCTAATGACATCACCGAGAGCCCAGCTGAAACATAAAGAAAAATAATACCGGACGCAACTAAGATTCCACTTTCTCCAACACTGCATAAAGAGGGATAAAAGTGGAAAATAAGTAGTCAGATATGGCAACCAGGCTTGTTTGGCATTTATCATTTTCATGTCGGCGAAGGAAGAAATTTAATAAACCTGTTATCTCGTGTAGCCAGAAGGATGGTTAATGCAGCCATCTGTGTGGCAGTTTTCCACTTCCCCAGCTTATTTACGGCAACAGCCTAATTCATGTATCAAACTTGAGGATAAGCTATAGGCAAAACTCAAGCATTGCCTACTTCGATATAAACGTAAAATAGATAGTTGCTTGACATCCAAGGGAGAGAAACACACCTCCGAAAGCTTACTATTCTGAGAAGCAGCCCATTCCCTAACAGCGCCATAGTTATCTACAAACAAATATCAACTGTTTGTAAGATATTTATAACTAATTAATACAAGTATAAAACAGCATCAGCTGTGGTATATATTACCTCCCTTCCTATAATGGCTGTCGATGGTACATTCAGTAACCACGGAGCTTGCCCAAACAGGGCAACATTCACAGGTCTTGAACATAGTAAAACCAATGCAGCAGCAACCATAAGCTACATTAAAGAGGCATGGGTTCAGATGAAATGCTCACTGGTTCAGAAAAGTCACTACAATCTTTGGCAATCAAACTCTATCTAATAAACAACTTAAATGTTTTGCAAATAAAAAGGAAATAAAAAACCTGCTCGCTCACTTTGTCAGCAACTGGATCCAAAAGGGCACCAAAGGCAGAACATAATTTCATCTGAAAGACATAATAAAGACTTTACTAAGATAAATTGTATAGATTAACTAATTTCCAATAAAGAGAGGGAAAATAAAGGTTTCCATAGTATCTTGAAAAGGGGCTGGTAGAAGCATACTTTTCGAGCAATGTACCCGTCAAGCCAATCAGTCATAGCAGCAGCCACAAATATGCTAGTAGTAGCAGTCCTCCCCCACCAACTATCGACAGAGAAGGCTAGAAAGAAAAAGAAAACCCATTTTTGTTAGTCTCAGACTGAGCATAAAGTTTTGGCATCAGCAATGCAATTAACAACTGCCGCTAAGAATTCATGATTCATGAGCCAAGACAGGAAAATAACAAACAAACCACGTTGACATTAGCAGATCAAACTAAACAGATCAAATTGAAGGTCTGAAACAAATGCTGATTGCATTGCCTCAAAAGTTGAAATGCCGTTATCAAATCATCATCATCATTACTAGAAATTTCAAATCAAATTCAACGAGCAAGTGAATAAGAACAAAAGAAAAACAAATCTAATATCGTAAGTTACAAATATTCAGCTAAAATATTGCTAAATATGAAATTCAATAAAAAGAAACTTAACTGAAAATCAGCACCGGCACGGCGGCGACGCGGCCGAGTGTTAAAACCGTGGGCAACGTTAAAATTTTGGAAGAAGAATTATTAGAATAAGCTAATTTAGGCAGGCGTACTGGTTGCTGTTGCATCAAAGTCTCCGATTCCATACCCGCGAGAATGTCAGAAGACTCGGAACCCGACCCGTTAAAGATTCCTTTATTGTTTGTTTAAAGAAGAGGAGGGAGAGAAACACTCGGGTAAACGCAACGCAGATCTAGTAAACGGGAGGAGGTTTTTATGGGGAAGTTTGGGATGCTGAACTGAAATATAGGGTTAAAAGGGTAAACTAAAATGCTCCGGGAAACGTGAAAAGTGTAAGAGCCATGAATAGGTTGTACTATATTTTTCGATCTAACACCCTTTGTAGTAAGTCGTGTCTCTTGTAGCGCGCTATTAGTTGATTTGGCGTCACGTAGGGTAAGGCGCGCCTTATGCTTACATAGATACACGTGTGTATGGCGCGGGTTAGGGGGCGCGGCTTACTGCAAAGGGTAATAAGCTGACATAGATCGGAAAATATAGTCTGACCGGTGCTTAATTGGGCGTTTACGTTATATGTGATTATAATAAAAGAGATAATAAGTGACAACCTTAAGAAAGTTATCGAACAATTTAATATTTCAAATAATTTTAAATACTTACAATAAGTATTAAATAGTAAATAATAACTAAATTACAATAACTGATATTAAATGGTAATAAATAAAATTAATTGAAATATTAAAAAAGTCAAACAAATTTAACAAAATAAAGTAAATATTAAATGAGAAATAATAAAAAATTATAATTAAAAAGTCCAATAAACTAAATACAAATATAATAAAAAAACAAAATCTATCGATGTCTGCGACGCGAATGTGTTCCGCAGGGCGGTGGCTGTCGGTCTCGAGGAGGATTTCTTTGTATCACTGGTTGTGACTCCTCACTGTCATCATCATCACCACCGTCGTCGCCGTCATCGTCCTGAGTAGGTACATTAGGTTGATGAGGAGCTGATGACGATGAAGCACCTCCATAGAATAAGGACCCTGGAGGTGTATGACTGACTATCCACCGGCCTGCGAAAACTAGGAAAACTCATAAAACCCAGACATTGTTGAGTGTGAAAACTGTACAGGAGGTGTCTGTGCTGCGGCCATGGGTGATGAGGCTGAACCCGCCAAATATCCAGCATATGAACCCCAAGTCGGATCTACAAATATAGATCCATAATAGCCTCCAGAGGGGTCATCTGTGACGGTGGCGGCGGCAGGGTCATAAAAGCAGGTGAAGGCGGCGGCGGCGGCATCTGGTAATGGAAAGGCGATGGCGGCATAATATATGGTTGCGGTATGTAAGTCGCTGGATACGGTGGCTGTTGTGAAGGTCCTACTGGTGCAGCTGAGGATGAACCGGATGCACCTGCTCTCCGTCCACGAGTCGGGGGACGATGGTACTGTGTCGGTGAACGTCTTTGTCGTCGTCGCGGAAAGATCTGCCCTCGTGCATCCTCGGGAAGCATAAACGGTTTGCCGTTTTTGTTGAATCACTCGTAATAATCGTCAGCAACCATCAAGAGGTTAAGTAAAATGAGCTCTCTACGGGGAAGGCGCCGATGTCGATCCTCCCACAACACGACACACGCATGATGCCTCACCAGCCAATCTGTATTTGTCTTGCCGCGTCTATTTATTTTATGCAACTGTTCATATTGCGAGGTGCTTCCAGAATTGGTTGAAAACAACCAAATTGCCGGAGCACGCGATCAGTGGAGTGCTACTCGACGGTCACATAATAGATCAAGGGGACCATCGCCATCCAAACATCTGATGGGTCCCTCAACTCAGGTGGGATCACCGCCCTCACATCATCAGTAGAATATGACACCCATTCAAACTAAAACAAATATATATACTTTTTATCAAAATAATAATCTAATTATATAACTATAATATAAAATCGATTTTTAAACATTAAAATTAATACATGTGTTCCAGCCTTCTGATCAATTAACACCCTAATTTTTTCTAAATCATCATGTAGCTCCTGATGATTTTTCCTATCAGTAGACCACCTATTCAAGAAAAATAATTTCTTATTCACTGTATAAAATTATTAATATACAAAATCAGTTTTATAATTACCTCAAGAGTAGCGGAAATACGAATGGGTTATTAACAACAGGATATAAAAAGGTCCGCCGATAGCATTACGCCTGTAGTCAATGGCTCGACACATCTCCCTGTACAGGCAACCCAAAACTATCGAGCCCCAACTGAGTGATCCGGCCAGATGAAAGTCACCAAGATGTTGCAACCACATACAGTGAACTTGGTTGCACGATTTGTCCGGCATCAGCAACCCTCTTATCAGCTGCAGTATGCATGCTCGTGCATACTGTTTAACTTCATCGTTAGACGCGTCCTCGCTCAACTCCCGAAAATTGGCATCTAACCAATTTAACGGTATCCGTCCACCGTTAAAATTTTCCGGGACACGTCCTAGACTAACCCGACACAAAGTAGTCCAAGAACCGAAAGCTATCCCTGATATCACACCTCCATCCATTGGAAGCTCCATGTGCATAGAAACATCCTCAAGCGTGATCGTGCACTCTTTGCACAGAATATGGAATGTGTGGGTCTCTGGCCTCCACCGCTCTACTAAGGTAGAAATAAGGTCTGGTTCTATCTTACAGTGACTCTGATATCTACCTAGGTGACCGAATCCAACCTCTACTAAATACGGCATTATACGAGTAGGTATAATTAACTTAAGGTTCCTAATAAATGGATCTAATATACGATCTCTCTCATAAAAAATAAATAATTACACAAATTAATTTTTAAACTAATAATCATGCATTAAATAAATTAATTAATTAAATTAAAACGTTAAAATGTTACCGTATCAGCAAAGTGTCGAGATATATGATTTCCATCCAACCAAAGTAGACCGCCTTCCATTTTATATCTGCAAAAAAAAATTAATTAAATAAAATATTAAATAATTAAATAAATTACTAAAAAATACTAAATATAATAAAATATACCTTAATAATAGAATATAAGAGTATTTGAGAGAAGTTGAGAGGATTTGATGTAATGAAAGTGATTGAGAATGGAAGTATTTATAGGGAGGGATGAGTGTGAACGGGCGGGGGTAATTTGATAATTAAGGGTATAGTGCGGGACAGAGCCCGCGCATTTCTGACGAGTGTTAGAATCATAGGTAAGGCGCGACCCCTGCGCCGCGTCATACCCTTAATTACAACTTGCCCTCGACCGTTTACACATGTATCCAAGTCAGCATAAGACGCGTCGCAGGAGGCGCGCCTTACTCCACGTGACGTCAAATTAGCGTATAGCGCGCTGCAGGGGGCGCGCCTTACTGCAAAGGGTGTTAGATCGAGAAATATAGTCTGACCGGTGCCTGATCGGTAAATATACCGGTCACCGATGATTTTTTTGAAAAAAACGTCGTGTCACTAAGCTGGTCGTTGGAGTAAAATTGAATTGGATTCTCAAAATTTAATTAAATTAATGGTTAATTATCTCAAAATAATGTGATGGTGTAGATAATATTTTTTGTCGACAAAAATATTTTCGATTTATCTTAAAATAATAATATTTTGAAATATTATATTTTTATATTGATTTTATCATTAAATTTTAGAAGATATCAATTTTAAGTACTTAATTTTTTTTATTATCAATAACGATCAATTGTTGCCCGTTACTTGGCAAGATAAAGTAATGGATCATTTGCCTTTCATTCCTTTTTCTTATCAAATTGGATTTATACGTAAAAAAATTATTCAAAATCGATAAAATTTTATCTAAATATTTGACGTGCTAATATTTTGGTATCCACTGATGATCATCCAATAGTGTTAATTTTGAGTTATGTTATTCGTTTTCTTAACAACAAAAAAATTCTCATTGTTTTATGAGCATACCCTCAAAATTTTCAAATAAAAAATAGCTATAAAATCTAAAAAAATGATGTATTTTTATTTATTTTTGTAGGTTTTAAAAAAGTTTTGAATAGAATTTAAATGGATAAGATGATAGAAGATGATGAAACAAATTTATCAATGTTTAGAGTGATAATAAAAAACATTAAAAATAAAATTTTCAATGATAATTAAAAATTTGTGAAAATTAAAACTCAGATGAGAGAAGAAAGTAGTAGAATTAAAAATATATGACTTTCAAAATAACAATTTTGAATGTTAACGACTGAAAGATCATCCTAAATGCAACCAAATTTCTAAAAGATTGTCAGTTGCTAACTTTTAAATAATTATTTGTATTTGGGATAAGGTACATGAATGATCTGTAATTATCAATATTTATTATTTATTAAAATAATAAAAGGTAGAATTTATTTGGGATAAGATACATGAATGATCTTTGATTATAAAGCTGTATTTCGTTAAATATTTCTATTATTAAAAGTTACAAAATAGTAATATAGTTATAAGAAATTATTTTGTTAGATTTTCTAATTATTAAAAAAGACAGAATGATTATTTGATTATTCATATATTATAAATTCATTATTTTTTTATTAAAAAATATTATTTTTTGAGTTGGACGTTGACATGCTTACTGAGATATGATGAAATAGTATTTTAATAATATATATTGACACCGTCTTTGTTGTCAAACAATGACTTGACGTTATAATATTTTAAGCATTGGTTATACGACATAATGTAAATGGAGACTCAATTCACAAAATATATCTCAAATGGTTTTGAAATTAAATATTGTTATATTTCAGTCAGTAAGTTAACGTTCAAAATAGAATATTGTCAATTTCTAATAAGAAAAAATGAATTTAGAATATATAAATAATTAGATAATCATTTTGTAATTTTTAATAATAAAATAATAAAACGGCGTATAACTATGTACTTTTGAACATTTATCCATTGTTTTGAAAACCGGATCGGATCAGCTAGTTCAACCGGTTCAATCGGGAACCGTTGTCTAGTCCGATTCAATCTAAACTGGTTGAACCGTTACTAGTGAACCAGCCAGAACCGCTGAACCGTTCGAACCGAACCCGCTGAAAATTGGAAAAAAACGGAAATTTTGTTTTAAAAAAAAATTTAAACCAAACGACGTCGTTTGTTAAACGAGCCAAGTCGAACTCGAGTATTGCCGAGCTCGACTCGAACTTGAAAACTTTAAAAGTAAGCTCAACTCGACTCAAAATCACGCAAAAATTATCAAGTTCAACTCAAACTCGAAATATAATATTAAAACTTAACTCAAAAAGGCTTGAACTCAAAAAAAATTGGAAGCTCGATTGAAGCCTAAAATTCGAGCTTGATTGAAGTGAAAGAATAGTTCACTCAATGCTCATCAAAAGGCTCCATGATTTTGAATGCCAAATTACCTCTATTATTTATAGAAGTTAGTTGTGATGCTCTTCTATGTTTCTTAGTATGTGAGATTGTTTTGTTCTCATATTTTTACTCTTTAAACTTTTGGAATGCTCTTCTATGTTTCTTAGCCATATGTGATTGTTTTTAAAAAAAAATTAAACCAAACAAATATCATTTTGTTATAATTTTTTTAGCCCCAAATTTATTTTTTAATTATAGTTATATAATTATATTTATTATTTAATATGTTTTATCTTAAATATTATGTGTAGTTAATTTGAATCATTTTGTTTCACTTGATTTTATGGTTTTTAACTTATATATGTTATGACTTACTTTGAATATGATTTGTGATATAAAAAATTATTTTTTATTAAATATTTTTGGTATATTTATTTAATTTTTTAAATAATTATGACGTCGTCCGATTCTTCCGACCGGTCAAACCGATTCGACCGGTTGAACCAATGACCCGATAACATGACCGGTTCGCTAACCGGTCTGGTTCTGAAAACCATGCATTTATCTACTTATTTAAATAAAAAAATTAAAAATAATTGAAACCGGTCAGAATTCAAATATATAGAATTAGTCAAACCATTTTTTTGTTTTATTAATTTTAGATTTTACACACAAAAAAAGGAATTATCTTATTTTCAGAATTCAAATATGTAGAATTAGTCAAACCATTTTTTTATTTTATTAATTTTAGATTTTACAAAAAAAGGAATTATCTTATTTTCAGAATTCAAATATATAGAATTAGTCATACCATTTTTTTATTTTATTAATTTTAGATTTTACAAAAAAAAGGAATTATCTTATTTTCAGAATTCAAATATATAGAATTAGTCAAACCATTTTTTTATTAATTTTATATTTAAAAAAAGGAATTATCTTATTTTCAGCAGGCATTGGTTTATTTTTATGGTTGATTTCTTTTTACAAATATAAATAAATTTTAAAAACTCTAAATTACTACAAATTGATACTTTTAAAATAGTGAAAATAGTAAATAATTCGATGGAATGATTAAAATAGAAAATCAAAATCCAACCGATAATCCATGTCCATATTAAGAAAGAAATGGGTCACGTTGTAATGACGTGCCTTTTTTTTTTTTTTTTGCATGCGTCTGCCCGCCTTTCCAACTCCATTTTATCTTCAATTGTTCCCTTCCCTTGCAGAAATTCAAGCAAAAGGAGCACAAAATTCTCCGAATGATCCTCCTGCCCGTCGCTGTCACCCTGGAGATCTCACAGACCAATCAAATCCATCCACCTCATCACCGCAACAAATGCGATCCTCCACCACTGCAACCACCAAAGCCGCGAACTCCCTAATAACGATCGAACACAATAGGTACGCTTCTCTTGCCACGTGTACCGCCGATTTCTTTCTCCACCTATGACAGTTACGATCTGATTTATTCTTCTTCTCTTATCCCTCCCTTGTTTCTAGTGAAAATATTTTTACTGTTTTTTTATTCCGCTTTTTTATTCGTGATTATTGATTTGAAATTGATAATGTGGAATGTGATTTATTTGTTATGAACACATTTGAGTGGTAAATATGAGCTTATGGTGTTTTCTACCGTAACTCGGCGGTCTTCTAGTGCCGATTTCAGGTAAATTCAAGCTCGATTTTGATTGATTTTTCCTTTTTCATTGTTCCTTTTTTCAATTTTGAACATCCTATTGAAATTCGTCACAGTTTGGTTTGGTAATTGACTAATTTGGCATCTGGTTGATAGCGGTTTAATTTATTGTTTTCTATTTGGAGAACGCTGTTGGGGTTCGTGATCTTTCATTCGGGAAAAACCTTCATGGAACCTGGTTTTATTTTTGTTCAGATTGAGTGGAAAATAGTTATAACTGAAAATAGACTATTTGTGTACCGTCTCTAAGTAGGCAATGTCTAGAGTCAACTGCAATAAATTGGAGTTATTTATTGATTAACTTACCTTTAGCTTTTAGTTTGATGCTTTTGCTTATTTCTTGCAATAGGTTTTATTTTGCAGCAAGTTGTATTGTTTTGAATTTGATAAGTTTAGGTTAATATGGCAAGCAATGTTATGGAAGCTTTTGCAAATTGAAGTTAGGTTTTGCTTAGGATGTTGTGGAAATATCAATCTTTCTTTTTTGGTGGAATAATATGCTGTTTTTTTATCTTTATCTTTATCTTTATTTTATGGAAGAATAATAATCTGTTGTTAAATTGAATGTGTGTTGAACTTTTGGGGGCTTATTAAAGCTTTTATTGTTGATAGGGATGCATATGGATTTGCTGTGAGACCTCAGCATGTACAAAGATACCGAGAATATGCTAATATCTACAAGGTATTTTTCTTGACCTTTTATTACTTTTTGTTTTAAGCTCATCCCTTCTTTCAGCTTCTGAGGAAAAGAAAGGATAATTAAATGCCACCTCATGTATCTTGGTGAATATTGATTCTTTTCCAACCTCTCCCACATTGTTATGGCCTTACAGTCCTAAATTATTGCAAAATCTGAACTCAGAACTTTGGTATAGGTTGTTTGACTAGTTTCTTGGTAATTGAACTAGGATCAAAGTGATTATCTTGTATATAATAATGACTTCAGGAAGAAGAGGAGGAAAGATCAGGTAGGTGGAATGATTTCTTGGAACGCCAAGCAGAGTATGCTGGACTGCCTATGAACGAGATGCCCTCGGAGGAAGAAAATGAGGTCTCACGCATCGAAGCTGCAGAGGATGGGAACAATGAAGCACAAAAGGGAGATGGAGACAATTTATGCAAAAAGAAGTCTGATTCTGATAGTCTGTCTGAGAATGATGATACAGAAAAAGAGAAGGTGCTGTATGCACCTGAGAAAATAGGTCATCGGACCAAAATATGGACTGAAATTAGACCATCCATTAGGGTCATTGAATATATGATGACTATCAGTATTCAGAAGACAGGTGGTGTATCAAAAGAAGAGCAAGAAACTGGTCAAACGAAACCATTATCTCCTGCAGGAGATGCTAGATGCACAAAGGGAGCACCAGAGGAAGATTCCGAGGATGAATTTTATGATGCTTATTCTGAGAGATCTGACCCAGGCCAAGATGCCCCTACAATTGACAACACAGACACCATACCAGGTGCTGCTGAAAATGCAGCTCCTACAGAATCTTTACATCCTTGGAAAGAAGAGTTGGAAGTTCTTGTTCGTGGTGGTGTGCCAATGACTCTTAGGGGAGAGGTATGTATTTGATAATCCTCTATTTTCTTCTTCTTCTTCTTCTTCTTCTTCTTCTTCTTCTCTCTCTCTCTCTTATATCTTGGTCATTACAGGTTTGGCAAGCCTTTGTTGGTGTAAGGACACACCGAGTAGAGAACTACTACCAGGATCTGCTTGCCAATGAAACTAACACTGCCAATAACACTGATCAAAAGAGCTTCCAGTCATATAGTAAGGACTCAACCACCAAGTCCATAAGTGGGCATGAGAAGTGGAAGGGACAGATTGAGAAGGTTGTTTCATTTGCAGTTTTAATTACATATTAGTTTTTTTCAGCAGTAGATGCTACCTTTTTTTTAAAGTGTTATTAGTTTGAGATTCCTGATTGGAGATTCTAAAAACAGGATTTGCCGCGAACATTCCCTGGTCATCCCGCTCTGGATGGTGATGGTAGAAATGCTTTGAGACGGTTACTTACAGCCTATGCTCGACATAACCCCTCAGTTGGATACTGTCAGGTACTCGGTTCAGAAATATGTTAGCTATTGTCATGGTTATGGTGTTTTGGCATTTTGGATTAAGTGTTTTCTCATGCAGGCCATGAATTTCTTTGCTGCCTTGTTACTGCTCTTGATGCCTGAAGAAAATGCGTTCTGGTAGGTTGAGAGACTCAGTAGTGAAAATTCCTTGAAAATCCAGTATACATTGTTTTCTGAAATTCATTTTTCAAGGTTACAGAGCAGAGCATATTTTGTTTCTGGAACATGATAATTTTGGTATTTCCATTATTTGCTTGTCTTGTTTATTTGATGCCAGTATTCTATTTTTAAATACAAGCATAATATTCGAATTTTAAAATTAGGGGCAGGATTGATTTTATATTTTTCTAAGTTATGGTATATACTTTAGGACTTTGAAGGGCATTATTGATGAGTATTTTGATGGCTATTTCTCAGAGGAAATGATTGAGTCTCAGGTAAAGTATTTCACATTACTCCTTTTTCTCCTTGTTGATTGATTTCTACTATCTGCTTCTCCTAAACGAGATTGTTAAAGTGGATAGTGAAGTAATTATGCTTTAGATCTATCATAGTAAAATTGTGACCTTTTGTTAGGTTGACCAACTTGTCTTTGAGGAGTTGGTGCATGAGAGATTTCCAAAACTTGGTTTGTTTGTTTTTCAATATTTGTTCTTTTTTTGTTTGTAATTTCTCAGATGTTCTCTTTACATCATGTTTTCTGGGAAGGCAGTTTATGATTGACAATGCCATGTTTACTGCAGTCAGTCATCTGGATCACCTGGGAGTTCAAGTGGCATGGGTTACTGGACCTTGGTTCCTTTCCATTTTTATGAACATGCTTCCATGGGAAAGTGGTCAGGTTTCATGCCATGTCCTATAGCAATATTTGATGAGTGCCTTTGTTTCCATTTTACTGATGTTTGTACTACTCAATTTACAATTGTAATAACTAGTGCTTAGTCACCAGATTCCTGATGGATTTGTCCTCATTACAGTTCTTCGAATCTGGGATGTGTTCTTGTTTGAAGGAAATCGCGTTATGATTTTTAGGGCAGCACTTGCTCTTATAGAGTTTTATGGTAAGGGGTAATAGACATAATTATTTTGAACTTTATGATATCTTTTGGGTAATTGAAGCCTGAAAATTGCGACTAACTAACTATTTTTATCTACAAACTGTAACCTAATTTTCTTACAGGCCCTGCACTACTTACAACTAAGGACGCAGGGGATGCAGTTACTTTGCTACAATCATTGGCTAGCTCAACATTTGACAGTAGTCAACTTGTATTGACAGCTTGTATGGGTTACCAAAATGTAAATGAACAAATATTATGTGAGTTAAGAGAAAAGCATCGGTCAGTTGTAAAAGCTGCAGTTGAGGAAAGATTAAGGGGGCTTCAAATTTGGAGAAAGTCTCAGGGCCTGGCAAAGCTATATAGTTTTAAGCATGATCATAACGTGGTGCTTACGGGAACAAATAAGACAAGACAACTGGTTGATTCAAAAACTAATGAGAACATTTCTCGTTTAGAATCCAATTCAATGAATGCGGATGAAGACCATTTTTCAGATCCTGTTCCTGATCTTAAACAGCAGGTAGTGTATAAATTTCCTCTTCATGAATACAATATTTCATTGCAGACCAAACAAAATGTTTAAAGGGTATGTTAATTGTTTAATTACTAATAGTTTATCTAAATTTGGCAAGTTGAGGATACAGTAGGCTACATCATATTCACAGTGTATTTTGCTCGACTTATGTTCATTCATGAGATTCTGTTCTCCTGTTTTATCACGTTTCAGTCTTAATTTATTATAAACAATCATGTGCAGGCTATAGGGTTAAAGGTTGAGTTGTGCAGGTTGCTGGAAGAGAAAAAATTAGCTGTCCTCAGGTTCATAAATTATATTATGTCTGATTCTTAAGTTTCTATAGATTATGTAATATAGGCAATGTAATTTATTTTGTTGCTTGCAGTTCTGTTACTCACTTTCTCTTACCTCTTTTCTACACGGTTGATATCTTTGCTGTGCCATTATGTTTTATAAATTGGATATATCTGACTATGTAATAGCATTTTATGATTGAATTTATGTGTGATTTAATTTGAGATAATCCTCTATCTTCTTCCTGAAAATCCCATGTGCTTATGTGACACTGATTTCCTCACTTGTGTTAGGTCTGAGGCGCTGGAGACGGCTTTGATGGAGATGGTTAAGCAGGACAATCGACACCAATTAAGTGCTAGGGTAAATTGGAATATCTTAAACAGTGGAAATTCCATTGACATTAATATAATTCTTTAATTATTGTTCAATTTGCTAAAATTTACAGTCAGCTAATAATTTTTTCTTAATATAATTATTGAACTATGTCATTCCCATCGTGCAACAAAATTTGCTTGCTTTTACCTGGCACCTTGGGTATTTTCATGAAATTTTATGTTAGATTCTCAATGGTCATTCTATCTCTAGCTACTTTAATGTACAATTTGATTAATGTTATTACCTCAACTGTCTAAAAAATCTGTGTTTCTGGTTTTCATGACCCATGTCCGAATCATTATCGTCATTGGGCAGTTAGCTAATTACCCATATGTTTTGCTGATAGTGGTTTTCTGACTTGAAAGTCGCTAGTTATTTTCTTCAGATGATTAAATTGTGTACTGAATATCTGCTTTTCATCTTTAGGTGGAGCAATTAGAGCAAGAAATTGGTGAGCTTCGTAACGCACTCTCTGAGAAGCTTGAACGAGAACATGCAATGCTTCAGGTTTGATTTGTTTTTTCATTTTCAACAGTTTAAATGTTATCTTCTTCTCTTGATGTACAGTATTGATGATAACTAGATCTGTTACAAAATTCATAGGTCCTAATGCACATGGAGCAACATCAAAAGGAAACAGAAGATGCTCGCATGTCTGCTGAACAAGATGCAGCTGAACAAAGATTTTCTGTTGAAGTGCTTCAGGTACTCAGCTTGACCAAACTCTCTTGTTTTTTCATGTAATTTTTGTATGTAGATATTCACTATATTTTGCTCTTCAATCCTGAATAGTAGTGATATATTTCATTTGGCTTTATATCAATGGTTTCACAGCTATAAAAAAATCATCTTTTACCAAGTACTCCAGGTTAAGGAACAAATATCTTTAAAGCATCTCTTGCTTTCATGGAAAATAACGCTGTTTAAGTTATTATAACCAAACACTGGGAATGTTGTTGATATGCTGTAGCATGGAAAATTTGGAAGAACATGCTCATTTCCTTTTCTCCATAATAAATTCCCCATTAAACTTACATTACTGAGGAAACTAACATTGTTTTGAGTACTTATAACATTTTCATGGAGAAAAGTATGCAAATATTATATGCATTTTTCTTCATACCATCTCTGCTCTTGGCTTCGACATTTATGGTAATGCAGGGAAAGTATGACGAGGCCGTTGGTAAACTTGCTCAACTGGAGAAAAGAGTGGTAATGGCAGAATCAATGTTAAAGGCTACCTTTAAAGCTCAACCTCCTCTTTATCCACGGTGTGTATTTGGCATTCCTGATTTCAAATCTTTTATGCTAGGGTGAAAAAACATTTTCTTGCGGATGAAAAATCTGGACCAGATTGGTCAGTTCTATATAGTTGAACTTAAAAATGAGAGAACCACCCGAAACCAGTAAAACTGGTACAACTGATTTTTTTTTTAAAAATCAGGCTTTTCCATTATATTTTGGTTCGTTTTCATCTCTTTTTTTTGTAAATATAAAATTTCCTAATTGTTTGGGTTTACTTTTATTTTCCTAAATCTTTGAAAATGTTAATGGATTTTTACTAATTTATGTTGAAAATTTTCAAGATGATTGAATCATTTGATTCAACCAGTCGAATTAAAAACCAGGGTCCAACCGGTTCAGGTCTTTCAACGTTATATTTTGTTGGCCTGTTGTGTATATATTGGAGGTGGCGGATTGGGGACAGTAAATTGTCTTTATCTCATCTCTCTATTTACTATTCCTTTATCGACGTCTTTCAAATGCTTTGTTCTTTTCATTTCTTATTATTTTTAATTTCCCTTTTCATCATCTACCCTCTAATTTTCAGCCCATTATTTACATATAAAAGATATTATGAGCCATTCTGAAAAAAAAGAAAGATATTGAGCCTCTGTTTTATTTTTGAGCTCCTTATGCCTTTGATTTGACCTCCCGCTAATAAATATTGGCTTGCAGATCATCTCAGCCAGGTTTACCACCACGCAAGAATAAAGAACTCCAACAAGAGATACCCTCCAGCTCGATTGATTTATTTGTTCGACCACTTGTACTTAACTGGCATGACAGGATCAAGGTTAATTTTCACACTTTTATGTTCTTATAAGCTGTGGGATTATCAGATGATTATTTGGCTTTATTAAACTGATGTGAAGGCTTAACAATTGGCACAACTAAAATACGTTACTCGAAATTCACACGAGTATGAGTTTGATGGAATTATGTTCAGCTCTTTATTAAAAAGCCGCACATTTGAAAGATATATGTCCGCATTCATGTCCAAAATTATATTGGGCACAGGTATCAGAGACATACCTGAACAAAAATAAGAACCTGAGTTTGAGATTTAGTAAGTGTACTTAAAAAGTTGGAAATTTAAATCTCTTACTTTTTTTATTTAAAAATTTTAGTCTAATTGTCGACATTGTTGGTATTTGCTGTAAAAATGTACTTGTTATTAAGCATGCTTACTGAGTTCATAATGGTTTACTTTTGAAGTTGAAGTTTGGTATGATTTACTAAGATTGTAAATATGACTTATTGACAAAACAGGCAAAGATCAGTAACACCGATGAGCCAAATGATGGGAAGTCCTCTATTGAGGGTCAGAATACCGAAGTAAGGCAGACAGATACAAAGGCTTCAGAAAACAACAGCACGGATGCGAATGACGAGGATGCAAGCGGCACCGAAGGTCAAGGTAAGGAGTGAAATGTTGCTAATATGTCATGTTAATAACTGCATATATATCCTTCATTTGCTGCCTTCAGTTCAATTCTTACATTCATTGGGCTCTGTATATCATTTTTCTTCATCACTGCCATTTGTGGGGAGAAGTTGCAAATATTTTAACTGGAAAATCGATATAAAGCTCGTATCGGTTGTTGTTTGCCTTGGCTGCTATTAGATTACAATGTTGGTTCTGGTTCCTAGAAGTAAAGAGCATGTAAGAAAGGAGATGAGTTGGTAATCAACTGTAAGTCCTTTAGCGAGAAAAAGAGAAGGTAACTGTACTGGAATACATTTAAAATCTGAACATTCTCATGTGTTTTAGATTTATTGATGCAGTTGTCCTAAAGGAGTTTCGATTTAATATTTATTTGTCCTGAATTTTAGTATATATATATATATATCTCTTGTTGAATTGATATTTTCTTTTTAATGTTGAATATTGGTTTAAATTATTATATAATTTGATTTGTTAGTAATTTATTTCATATAAAATTTGACATTTTTTTTTCACTTTGATGCGGTGCTGCAGGCTTTAGTCATATGGTGTTCAAATTTGCCAGATCCTATTCAGCCGACGATCTAAACTTGCAAAATTACGATTTATGGAGGAATCTTAGAAGTAAACTCCGGACCGGAGAAATTTTAAAATCTGAAAATGAATAAGCCAATCATAAAAAGTCAATTCCAATATATCCTCAATTCTTTCATTTGTATGCTTTTTCTTTATTTGTTGGATCCCCTATTAAATAAAACCAAATTATCACATTTTTTATTTTTGAATATTTGCATTTAATAATGGTATTTAAAACATTTAAATATAAATTTTTATGTGTGCTTAATTTGTTTTATAAAATGAAGCAGATTCAGCACCAAATGGATCTCATAACTAACTTCCCTTCCAACTATGGAGTACGAGTATAAAACAAAAAAAAATATTATTTAATATATCAGTAAAAATTAACTTCGGTAATTTAAATGATATCAAATATATTTAAAAAAGTAAAAAATAAAAAATAATACATCCGATACTGTATTTTTTAAGTGATATATTTTTAATAATACCCAAAAAGAAGAGAATAACAAATTGGGTTTATATAATCAGGTATAAGAATCCTTTTGCTAATGGGGTGTATAAGCATTTATTCCTTGAAGACCATTACAGATAATAACAGTAGAAAATAACAATAGAAAATTATAAGCCTGAGTTAACAAACTTTATACTCGTTTTCACTATTAATATTTTGATGGTCGAATTTAATTATACTAATTTTGTATATCATCTTAACTTTATATATTTGATGACCGGAAATTTTTTTTTCATATAAAATAAATAATCAAATATTTTAATTCATTCAAAATTATACATGTATCAACATTCTACTCTATAAGAGATACTACTCTATAAGAAATTGTAAAAGTGTATAATATGTAACATCCCAAACTACGAGTTAGTGACTAAATTGTAAAATTTAAGCAGAATAGTTGAATAGTTCAATGATTTATTTGTGGATATTTCTTTAAAGTTATTAGTAATTATTAAAGGAATTAAAGGGCAAAATGGTCATTTATCATGAAAGATATTTTTTTTATCTCTTTAAGAAGAGATAAACACGTTGGGGGGGGAGAGTATCTGGAAAACTCTTCTTCTTCTCCAACGTGTTGAGCAAATGTGAGTTTTTATTTAGTTGATTATTTGTTGATTTTATAGTTGGGTTTTGATTATTAGATGATAACTAAGCTTAAGGAAAGCTTAAGTTATCTTATAAACAAAAGATGAAGAAGTTATGAAAGATTTAAGTGAAAGAGTTTTTAAATGAATTTCTATAAAAGAGTTGATAAGCTGAATTTGAAATTAATTTCGACATGTCATCAGCTTAATTAAGAGATATGACGTGATATAATTGAATTTAGAGTATATTGAATATTTGGTATGATTATTGAAGTTCATAAAGAGGAGAAGATTTTGAGGTTTAAAATGAGATAAATGAGTAGAAATTAGTTTAAGTATGTATATTTGAGTTAAGATTATGAAAGGGAATGAAACATGACGAATTTAAGTTTATATAGTGAATTTTCGTGCATGAACAGTGATTTTCTGGGCTTCAACGAAAAATTCCAGATTATGCAGGGGGTACAGATACCCTCCTGGGGGGTATTGATTCCCCCTAATGGAAAAAATGGAAATTTGGTTCATTAAACTAGCTTAAGTTATTAACATCAAGTTTAAGGTTTAGGCTTCTGATAATTGTTTTGAAATGTTATATTTATGTAGATATTGAGTCTAAACAAGTTTCGGAACAATCAAAGAATTAGGATCGAATAAAAGCGAGGCTAAGGTGAGTGCAATTTAATTGTATGTATGTTATTGAACATACATGGCTTGCGATGAGCCACTGGCGGAATTACTATAGTAAAACGTGACTCCTAAAATGTTATATAGTTGATGGAATTCTTATATGTGCATAAGTACATGAAAATAGGTATATGTTATTATATGTGATTATAAGAGCAATAAGATGAATACATGCATATGTCTATAGAGTAAGTGTATTTCTACATGTTATGTGAATATATGTATGTGTGAATATGTTTGGTATGATTACATGATCATAAGATATAAACAATGTGATAAGTGATATGTGAATATATGAAATTATGAGACAAACGATTAAGTGCTTAAGAGATATAGGCAATGAGATAGGTGACATGTGAATCAAATAGAAATGATTTATGCATAAGTTTATATGTTATTCTATGTGCTATGTGATGTATATATATGAATAAGATGTGACATATGTGCTTATATAAAAATATGAGAAATGATATAAGCCATATGAAACTATCTACGTGAATACATGCACTTGTGATACATGTGATATGATATGAGATATATGTTTACACATACATATGGTATGTGATAGAAGAGAAAGAAATATGTGATCATATGAAATGTGATAAAGAGCTATGTGAAAGAATAAGTGATATGAAATGTATAAATGATAATGCCCATGTTATGTGATATGAGAGCTAATGGTATAGTTAGCATGCCAAGAGTCGAGGGTCTACGCTGTAATGCCCCAAAAATTTATTTAAGGATTAAATTGAAATGATTTAAAAATACGAGGATTTATTAAATTAAATAATGAAAGACGAGGATGAATAGATTCATAGCTTAGACTAAATTGTAAGAAATGATGATTAAAAGGATATTTTGGTCATTTGGATTAAATTGAATTTAATATTCAATTAGTGGGGAATTAAGATAAGAGATAAGATGAAGAGGGGAATAGGAAGTCAACCCTTTCATCTTCTTCTCTTCTTGTCGTGAAAAACTCTCCCCTTCAGCTCAAAGGTAAGTTTCCAATTTAATGGTTAATTAATTCGATTTTTTATAGGGATTGAAGCTTTGTATATTATGGAAGCTAAAGGAAGGTTTAAATGAGATTAAAACTAAGTTATTGATGAGATATTAGAGATTACAGAAAATGGGTTTTTGAGTGACATGATGAAATATGAAGGTTTATGAATGTTTTATGGTAGATTTGACTTGTCATCAACTTACTTAAGAGATATGAAGTGTTAGAATTGGATTTAGAATATGTTGAAAATTGAGTATGATTCTTGAATCTCATGTAGAAGAAAAGATCATGAGGTTAAGGATGTAGTAAATGCGTATAAATGAATTTAGATGAAGGTATTGGAGCTAAGGGTATGAAAGGGGTTGGAATATGGAGCATTTGAGCTGGAATTAAGTGATTTTCGTGCTCAAAATGTAAATTATGGACAAAGTGCATTGATAAACAAGGAGTGTACCGATGCACACTTAAATAAATAAACATTGAATGCAGATAGTGCATCGATGCATAGGTGTGTACTGATGCACCAGTGAGAGGATGCATCAATACACTCTAAAATGTATCGATGAATACATTAAATAAATAAATGAAAATAGTCTTTCTTTTAGTTTAAGAAATGAAAGATTTCAATATACTAATAAGTGATATTGAATGTGTCTTTAATGAATGCTTGAGTAGATCGAAATCAAGCTCCCGAGTCTAGCAAAACGAAAGGCAAAGACAAAGTAGATGAGTAATCAGAATTGCGTATTGGAAATAATAGCAAGGCGAACCATGTGAGTACATTTAATTATGTATATGATAATAGTTAAAATAACATAATTTATTGATGTATGTATAGTGATTACCGAATGACACTTTGTGTGCTAAAATGATAAGAAAATCATACTGAGTGTATAGATTTTCATATGGAGCACTAAGTGTGCTAAAATGATAAGAAAATCATACTGAGTGTATAGATTTTCATATGGAGCACTGAGTGTGCTAAAATGATAAGAAAATCATACTGATTGTATATATTTTCATATGGAACACTGAGTGTGCTAAATGATAAGGAAATCATATTGAAAATATGGATTTCCAGATAGGGCATTTTATGTGCTAAAATGGTAACAAAAATTATACTAATGGTATGAATTTTTGAATAGGGCACTTCGTGTGCTAAAATGAAAGGGGAAGCATACTAAGCGTATGGTTTTCCAGATAAAACACTGAGAGTGCTAATATTAAAAGGAATTTACATGAATTGTATGAATTTCTTATTAAATGTATGGATTCCAATAATGATTGATAAATGGGTTAATGGCATCAATAATGCAGATTGTAGTATATTCATTGGAATTAAAGATTCCTTGGAGATTAAATATCAAAATATAACTTGTACGTAGAAATTTTATTTGTGATTTTTTATGCCTCACTAAGAAATACTTAACGTGTGTTTATTTCACGCGTAGGTTGAATACAACTTGTAAGGAGATATTTGGATATTCAATCAAGGTCGCCTCATCAGTAACCGTATGACATAAGGAACTATTTTAGTTATATTTTAGTCGGCATGTAGTAGATTTAAATAAAAAAATTTTTAAAGAAATTTAAACCTATTTATGTAAATGGTAAATGTATAGTGATGAACGGTTAAATTTTTATGAGTTTTATACATGTTTGCCGAAGTTACTATAGCAGTACTGTTCACGTTACTATAGCAGTGCATCGATACACTATTCACGGTATTGTTCATACGTATATTACTGTTCATGAAAAAGTATTTTTTTTAAATTTGTTATAACAAACATAATTCATCAATATGTACTTGTATTTTATTAATATAAGTTCAAATGTGTTGTTACTTTGTAAGAACGTTGTTTTAAAAAGTCAATGTGATATCTCAGACTCATATCCGGGTCGGGTAC